TGAAACTGCAAATATACACACACTACGCAGATTCTTACAAAACTATTGGAAGATTTGACTGGGCTCAGAGTTTCAGAGGCAAATATGATGCTGGTAATAAAACTAATAAAACTGAAAAAGGTGAAGTAAGCTACAAGAAGCAAATATATATATATAGAAGGCAGACTTCATTTTATTACAGGATGAGGAATGAAAAGGAAATTAAACGTTTTAGTATGGGAGGACTCAACTTTCTCACAATTAAATACTTATGACGCATTCACAGTTCACACGAAAGATCCGGGCCTACTCCAGCATCCATACAGAGCTTATCTATATACAATAACAGATTATTAATCACTGCTTACTTTTAACATTTAATGTGCTAGCATTTTTACATGTAGATACAGCAGTGAGTGTTTAAGATTTTCTTAAACAATAAATATTCCTCTCGTTGTTTCTGTGGTAGTCTTTCGTATAGTTTATAGTTTGCTGCTCAAACTACAGGCTGACTATGAGATGCTGGGACACACTGGCTCTTACCCTGCTGGGAGTGAGTCTGTGGTGGGCTCTGTGGTGCTGTTGCTGGCCTGCTCTGTGCTAGAGGTGGTGTTGGAGCTGGGCTCCACTGAGGCAGCTGGACCCAGGGCTTCCTGCTGACCAGGAGAGGGGCTACTGCTGCTGCTGCTGGCAGCCGGAGACCTGCCCGAAGGAGAAGATGGAGGAGGCGTGTGTAGGGACACGCCGCGATTGTTCTCCAGTCCATTAGACGTCAGCTCAACCTTATCTGAGAGAAGACACGGGCAGCAAGAAGCATAAGAAAAGCTGGGAAGATGATGCGATGCGTTCTTACAGTCAATTAAGAAATTATGGTTTAAGAGTGAGTGGACTGATGGTTGCATGAGAGCTGATTTGGGACCAAGAAAGACAAACAAACGTTTTTTGTTGATTGGTTGATTACAAGTAGCTGAAGCATCTGCTGTATATTACTCAGCTACTCTCTTTTCCCACATTTCCTTTCTCTCCACCAGTGCTGTCAAATAAAGGCATTAAACGCTTCCAATGACCTTTAAATTAAATGTTAAGTTTGGCAATCTTTAGACGGTAACACAATTTCAAGCTTCAAGTTTGGCATTTGCACCTGGAAGGTGTTTCTAATTCCCCAAAATGAGTGGGCGATCCTCAGGCTGCAAAATAAAAACAAATCTATCTGCCTGTGAGAGAATCACCGAAGGATGCACACATACAATGTTGTTATTGACTGAAGCCCTGCAGTAGCCTTTCAGCATATTTTTCAGCCTG